ATTTATTTACATTCTTAGGCTATGGCTAACAATAAAAGATTTTTTAAGACGATCAGTCTTGCACACTGGCACGTTAAACTTTCTATTGCTGCGCAGCTGCCTATGGTGCTCAGCTTTAGGTGGGAGCAGACCTGCGAGCTTGTGATTAATTCTACCTTCAGCTAGACGGCGCCATTTTTCTTGTCATGACAGCGGACCAAGAGCGAAATGCGAACTATAGCTAGTTCCAGTCCTACTCCGGATCACAGCTGAACCAGAGAGCGCGTATGAGCGTTTCAACGCCCTAGGGCTTTCAGTTGGCTGACATTAGTTTAAAGTTATATGCGCAAGCCAAATTAAAGTCAATTGACAGCTGTCAAAATGGGACATGTGCAGACCACTATCAGAAAACTAATAATATACATGAAAAAATTTCTCGATTGTGATTGGCTACGAGGAATGCAGTTTTTAGGTAACACAGTGCAGAAAAGAGTAACAAACGTGACATTCTGATTGGCTAATAAACAAAGGAACTCACTGAGAGCCAATCAAATGCGCCATCTAAATGGCGCAAAATTTGGATCCGCTCCGGTCGGACCAGTTTCGGGCAAAAACCGCAGTGGTTGGCGATTGCAGCACATTTGCTTTTGCGACCGAAACAACTGTAGAGGAGCTGAAAAACTGCTGCGAAAAGCACTGGTTTTTGGCTCTCTTTTTGGAAGAATTGGTGCGTAGGTAAGGAAATTACTGATGAAATAGAAAATTATGAGCCGGCTGAGCTTAACACTTCGCCCGAGCATTTCTACGCCGAAGTAAACAATACAAAAAAGGTGAAGATTTATGAACCAGAAACGAAGCCTTAAAGTAATGAAGGCATCGCTTGATAGACACTTAAAGAACAAAGGCTGCACCCTGTCCATTGTACGTGACCGAGAATTTAGTTCGTCCGAAGAGGTGTTGGAGGAAAAAGCGAAACAGCTTCGCTTGGCTGGCCGTGGTAAGCGCCCAAACAAAGCTCGGCAAGTATCAGAGGAGGAAGAAGAAATTCTCTGGAAGAGCGGAAAACTCGAGGTAATAACCCAGAATCTTTATTTCAAGCACATTGAACAATTCCATGAACTGTTCAGCCCGTTCTGCAGCTTGCAAACTTTAAAAACAGCGAGCAAAATGTTGTTTTGACTGCACGTGTGATGATATTTGCAGCATTTGAATAATTTATTTTTGCACGTAGTTTACGCGGGTTGACTTCCTATTAAAGAGATTTTAAATCTATCTCGCAATTTTTTCACGAATATTATTAATAAGTAATCACATAATTTTTCTCGTGCAATTTGGAATAAATAAGCACTCGTAAATTTTTTCAAAGACCACAAATTGCACTCGCCCTACGGGCTCGTGCAATTTCGTTAGCCTTTGAAAAAATTTACTGGTACTTATTTATTCCAAATTGCACGAGAAATCATGTGATTACCTATACTAATAACGTGGGCTCAGGTCCGCTCAGGTACATGATCTGGCATTTTCCAGTACAAGCCGGATGGATATGTCTTACACTTGTAGTCTGTTAATTCGAATATTTGCGATTCTAATGAAGGATAATTGACAGCTGTCAAGTAGAGTATCCGCTGACCATCATCACCTGAGTGTATCGCGGGCTCATTTTTCTACCCATTAAGGTCACGTATTCTTTTAAGTTTTCCGCTGATATTTTATTTGATCACGGGCTCAATTCGAAGCCCCATAGCTTAGAAAATCTATCCATCCTAGAAAATTTGGCAATCACGTGACCGTACACCGACCACCCGATCTTCCGTCGGTCCGCACCACAGGCATACCAATGTTTAATCTCAGACTTTGTAGCTAGTTTGGGAGCCTGCAACCTGATATTGTACATCCATGTTTTGATTGACAGCTGTCTAAATAGTGTATCTGCTGACCAGTATCGCCTGACCGTATGGCGGGCTCAGGTTTCGAACCACTGAGTTCGTGTGTTTTTTGAAGTTATCCGCTGACAAGTTGCTACTTTTCAAATGATCGCAGGCTCAAGTTCAATTTTTTTGAAATGTATATGCAATAAGTCGTGTTCACGAGCCGCACTTTTAAAATTTTGATTTCAAACTGATCCCGGACGCGAAAATTCAACCGGCTTTTACATGCAGGGAAGGCAATCGGTTTTGACTTTTCTCACAATGGTCACGCGTTGATCACGCTCTACGTCCAATTTTCACGCTCTGATTGGTCAAAATTTGACAGGTGAGTTTATGCGGAAAATTTATGCAGCGTCTGGAAACTTGCTTACTGATAGCTGAAGGTGACAGGGTTTTGTGTCATCTTGTGATCTGTTTAACTGTCTCTTTCTACTTGATGTACCAAGTGAAATAGAGCTTCTAACAAGATTGTTCTGTGTAATTCATGGCTGGTTTGTTTATTGCGCTTTTGATTGAGAAATGCACCCCTTGTCAAAGTCATTGGAAATCCGATGTCGGATGGCTTTGTTTTCAAAAATAAGCTTACTCACTTGCCCTTGCTTGAGGCGTACAAAGAGGGTTGAAAAGTCTCAGGCGATTCTGGCCTGATTTGATAACCTTCAGGAGCAGCATCTTGACTGGTGAGCCATTATTGTCTTTGATGTTTTTATTTTTCGGTTTGCTGAGGTCGAGCGTAGTTTATGCGGCTTAAGTTTTAACGCACGAGTAGTTTATAACCTACAATAGTTTGATGTTTAAAAAGCCTTTAGACATTTTTTGACCGCAAATTCAATGAAAGAAAGCGTTCCCAAGAATATTTAGTTATGATTTTGGCTGTAAACAGAAAACTCTGAGCGATTTTCTTGCCTCGAGTTCATCTTGAAAAAGAGCAAACACCGGGAAGCCGGCTTAAGACATAAATAAGCTTGTGCTTACCTGATTCATGATTTTCAGAGACACTTTACGCTCAATACTTGTCTTCCTGAATGAAAATTATTTTCTCTGTACATGTTTCACCGAATTATATTTATTTTATTGATTGTTAGTAGTCCCTCTCGCAATTTTTATCGCTGCACCGGTTGTTTTCAGTCGTACACAAACATCGCATGCAGGAATACTCAAAACTCCGCGCGTAAATATCACTCGCTTGTAAAGACTACACATAACAAAACCATAGACACTTTTATAGATAAAGGGAAATAAAACCTAAACACAACAAACTCTCTATCATATTGAAGCGTAAATGTTAACTCTATTAATCGCACTGCAAATATGGTGCTTGTCAAAAGTTAGAACCCGTCCGACTGGCCGAAAACTGATGTGATTTTGGGAATTTTTTCATCGTTTTAACTAAAAGCCTATAATTATTACCCTGCATATCACATAGGACGAGATTTTTCTAACTGAAAAGTCCCAGCATTATGGAATTCTCTTCATGAAGACATTTTATAATGTGGTCAATTCTATAATTTGTTGTGCAAAGGAAGCGTGTGCTTGGATCGTCCTAGATATTGAATGGGTGCAATTTGTCTTGCAAAATTGTGAAAACTGCAGAATTATAGGTTAAAATAGGGCAAAAAAAGAACAAATTCTGTCCGAGGTCTGTATGATCAGTTTCTCAAACGGAGTTGTTGGAGATACTGTGAATTGAACTTAAAAAATTAAGGTGATGGACGACTGGGTTATTTTGTTTGGGAATAGACCGATTTGCTTAACTTAATGTTGTACCCAATTGAAACCCCTTGGGAGTAAAACGTTTTGTTTCAGGAATTTCCACATTATGATGCAAATACAATACACGAATAGGAGGTCTATTTGTTTCGAGGCCTAATCTACTGTGATTGAACATGATTGTTATTTTTAGGTGTACTATTAACTCGATGAAAAATTTGTTTCACTCTTGGATTGTCAAATTATTTTTCACTCAGCCGTTGCCTCAAAAGTCACATGAATGAGCCCTAATCTGTGGATTACAAGTTTATTGTTTGATTTAAATTATGAATTTATTAACGGGAGCTTCGCTTTTAGCCCTGGCTAAATCTATATATTATAATGTAACGTGAACGCCACATTACAATGCAAATACAGTACACAAAGAATTTTAACCCCAGTTTGCTATTGATTACAATTCTTAAAGGTATCTCCTGTAATCGTTCTACTTTGGGCCTATTAGAGGCTCTGCAAAAATGCCAGGCTGTACCACAATATGTTAGATGTGGTAAGATAGCCGGTTTGAATAATTGCAATTTGGCATGGGCAGGTAAAAGGTTTTTTAGTCTTCTGAGCACTCCAATTTGCTGACTCGTCTTTCTACAGAGTTCGCCTATATGATTACTAAAGTTTATTACTGAGTCGATATTCGCGCCTAACAGTTTCATATTTTGTGATTGTTCTATTTGGACTCCACCAATACATAAATCCCGTAAATTTGTGCTGGCCTTTTTCCAAGTACCATCGATTGGTGTTTCTTGATGTTAAGCTTCAGTACGTCCTCTTCATACCAGCTTGTCATTTTGTTTCCATTATGTAGTAGCCTCTCCTCCACCGTAGCAATTGAATTATCTGATGAAAATGTCTGTTGGTCGTCAGCACACATTGATAATTAAAACTCAATTTTGATAACAACCTCAGCTAAATCGTTCTGAAAAACATTCCACAATAAGGGTCCAAATGTAGATCCCTTGGGACAACCTCTTTTGACATCAGTCCATGGACTTGTCTCTTATCCCATTCTTACCCTGGTTTTTCGCTGAGAGAAATAAGATCGCACTAATTTTAGGGCCTCTAATTTTTTCATCGGGACTGGAGGCCAAAGAGAGTCAGAGGCCTTGCTCATATCGGATGACAAAACTCCCAGAACATTTTTACAGTCTAGGTCTTTTCTACTTTCACATCCATTGTTCTTTCAATAGGCATTCAGGGGGGTGAATCAATATTGGGTCTGTATATTTAGATATTTGTTTACGCAGAAGTTGTTCGTAAGTCTTGCCTAAGACCGGTAATACCGCGATAGGTCTTTAATTCCCGACTTCTGGTCTGTCCTCTTTCTTGAATACAGGTATCCATCTCCTTCCGCTCCCTGGAGAGGGAGGGCTTCTCGTCTGAGGAACTCAAGTGGCACACCATTCTCTTCATTTTCGCCCTGAATCGTTGATTTATCAGGGCATACGCAAACGGATTGACCGCGGAATTGAAGGTGACCATTGTGTGAGAGATGAGGAAAAAGACTGGACTGAGCTTGGAAACAAAATCATCTACGATGTGGAATGCCGATTCTATACCCCAGCAGATTCCAAATATGGCACTGACGGTCAAAACCATTAAGGTCACTCGCTTTCGTAGCCTCAAAACTCCCTATGTACAAGGAGAGGAACCCGTTAGAGAGAGGCTTTGTAAATTAGTATCTATACTCAAATGTTAACGAATGAAATAATTTCACGCGGGTTTTGTCCAAATCCTAATAATTTCCCGAACCCCTTTATCTAACTTCACGAGTATACCATTTGATTACCTATAGATCGTTTTCAGTCACGTGGTCAGCAGCTTTGCAAATTGCTTGGAATAAAAGAAAGTTTTAACATGTGAAAAGAGTTCAATTCCCACAGGATTTTTTTTTGTACACAAACATGGCCGCTGATTCATTGTTTTGTACACAAATATGGCCGCCGTGACGTCACGTGAAAATGATCTATTAATATCACGAGTGATGAATTACGTTCGAAATCGTGGACTTTTAACATATTTATCCTGGTTTTATCGATCGAGATCGAGAACTCCACGCAAAAGTGTAGAGCGTAAATCTGGCTAAGTTCGGAATTTGTTCCCCAAAATTCCTCTGAGAATCCTTCTTGATGTGCTCTTTCATGTGTTTAGGTTGTCTAAAGGGTTTTTTAATGTCGTGACATCTTCATTCACATCATTTTAAACCTTGGTCGCCATCGTGGTTCTTAGACTTACCGAAGGTTGCCATGGCAGTTTTTTAATTTCCCATGTGAAATTATAAATTAATGCTAAAAAGTCGCACCAAAATTAGGATCAAGACGTCACCCATGATATTAGAATAGCTATGAATGTCGTTCTTTTAGGGCTGGCTTAGCTAACGAGATGAGTCCACTGAAGTCTTTGGTTACTGCAACAATGGAACTTCACTGTATAAGATCAGATGGTTTAAGCTGCTAAGATTTGTTCCTAATGGACAACAGCTGCTAATTTTCGAACTCGAAATGTTTGGTATTCCGGTCTTTGGGGAACGTGAACATTTCAGTCCATAAAGTTGACATAATTCTGCTAAGATGGTTGTTATTGAAAGCATTTTTTTCCTTAGCAGCATGTTAATTTTTACTGTTAACGTCTTTAAATTGTTTGGAAGAAAACTCCCTGAAGAAGATGAAACGCTCACAAAAGACGTAGAACAGTAAACAGGTTTTGCAGCTAGAGTTCCCAGAGGGCTGTTCACTAGTTTAGGGTAAAAAATTATATATAAAAATATTATAGAAATTGTTTCAGCATTTTATCAAAGGTTTGCTAAATACCTTTTGTTGTTCTGTGAGTACATTATCGTCATTTCTCTTAAACCATAAGCAGTACACGACTCTTGAGTAAAACACCACCAAGAGTGTGAAGGAGAGACCTAGGTAGACACGCCACGTAGATGTATAAGCTTGGCTCATCCACTTCTCTGGCCATGCATGCGTGCAAAAGTTGTGGCCTTTCTTTTTGTGAAAATCAGTTACTAGCAACATTGGAAAGTCAAGAACCAAAGGACATATCCAAGACGCAGCAATAATATTCTGGAATTGAAAATGTATAGAATGTTGTCTAAGCAGAGTTAAATACCTGCTGAAACACTGGGGCCAGTTGCCTAGAGGTCAATTACAGGTTAACGCAACAGGTAACGTTAGACGTTAAGCCCAGTCAAACACTTTCTTGGACAGGCAATACATTAGCAGTAAGGTCAGACACAGGTTTAATGCAATTCACCCTTGAAATCTTTGCAAAGAATTATATATTTTGACAATCAGCTGTGGCTATGATCTTTAAAGTGCCCATCACCTAAAATTGTTTATTTTCTTATCTGAAACTACACCTTAACAAAATAACTTCTGCGAAAAAATTTTGCGATTTGAACCAAAGACGATTTTTTTAGAATTTTTTAAAAACGTTCAAATTTGCCGCCATTTTGGCACACCATTCGTCTTAGTCTTCTCTCGGACTATGATGTACTTTAAGGAACACGTGACCTTATCGACTGGAAAACATTAAGAGTTCTGATAGGTTTTTCTTTTTCAGAAAAACTTTCTTCTTACGAAGGCATTGTGATTCAATCCTTACTTGAAATTTATCTTTTTTGTGTACAGCTGGTGGGAGTTCCTTAATTTACGTCACATTACGTCATATTGAGCTTGCTAGTTTGCATGATCAGCGGCGCGAGTGTACCATAAAAATGTAGACTTCAAAAAATTGGTAAAAAAATCGCGTTTTGTTCAAACCGCAAAATTTTTTCGCAAGAAGTTATTTTAATAAGGTATAGTTTCAGATAAGAAAATATGAAATTTTAAGTGATGGGCACTTTAATTAAGGAAGGTGAATACTTGTATAGAGATTCGCGAGTATCTTATCGGCTCACAAAAATATTTTAAAATAACTGGCTAGGATTATTGTTGTTTACAGCACGGATACAGACCTTAAGTTTACTCGAGGTAAGTTTTCCTTTATTCTCAAGTGGATATGTGACAGCGTAATAGCGTTCCGCAGCAATGGCTACCAGACTAAAGATGGAGGAACCCGCCCCTAGCCACGCCAAGTTTCCTTTTGTTAAGAGTAAACATAAAATTCTGCCAACCAAGCCTTGTGGGTGGGAAGGACTGTGTGTCGAGATAAGCTCTGGTATCAGAAATGTAGAGTATAAAATGTCGGCCACTGCCATGTTCAAGAGGAGGTAGTTAATGGGAATCCTACAAAGCAGAAAAGCAGACAGATATTCAATCAGCACCGTGAGAGTAAAGACCTTGCAAGAATACTCAGGCGTTGGTCCAGTCTCAATTCACTGGTGTCCTCCAGTCATCTTTGCTTCAAATACAAGAACGACGCTATTACATGAAGCTGTAGAGATGTGAATAGTCGACTACCTTCATTGGAGTTAACGCAAATATGGAATAGTCCATTTTACAGTTACAAGTGGAAACGAGGCTGGAGTTGACCTTGTTTTGATACAACCCTTCCTGCTTTGTTTTGTAAATCATGTCGTTCTTATGCTAACTAGTATTTTTTAAGCATAATTTCCATACGAAAAGGAAAGAGGTTTGTATCAAAACAAGGTCAACCTCAGCCTCACATTCATTCAAAGGCTAGGATAACTGTAAAATGGTCTATTGTCCGAAAAAGTAAGTTCTGATGTAACCATTTATTCAGTTAATTATGGTTAATACTACACAAATTTCCCCTTCCAGATTTTTGTCCATCAGTAATACCGAAAAGAGCGATTTTTAGCTTGTAAATTTGCCAATTTCGAAAGTGATGCAGATGCACCGCCGCAAAGACAAGAAATTTTGTAGATGGGCGTACACTTGCCCCCCTCACCCCCCCCCCCAATGATGGCTTTACCTCATATCTCGATTTTTCTTAATGACAGCGCAAACCAGAGTATTTCCAACAATGCATACGATGATGAGTATGGCTGTCACTACTGTCACGGCAACTCCAGTGGCGTCTGACATAACTAAACACAATAACACAAAAAAAGTTGAGTGGACTTAGCATTAAAAGGCGATGCTGTTCATCCTTTTGATAATACTGTCTCTTCGGGGTTTGAACATAACTTGCAGTGAAATCAATATAATAGACATTTGTTTTGTGCAAGCAAAGGTTTCGTAATGCATCAACGATTGGTGGAACTTGTGCTCTGTGTTCGCTCTCTGCTGGAACAGTTTGAAAATCAAATCTCTGAAACCAAGGAAGAGTGGCACTCGATCAGTATTAAAAGTTGTTAGTAATTATCAAGAGTTGTAATCTATTACAGTTATCTTTTTGTCACATTTGCCTCCTCATACCACAGGCGGCTCGGAAAAAAGTCGATCCGTTCACCAGTCGTGACTTTATATTCACCAAGGTTAGAATTCACCATCTCATTAACATCAATGCGCATAACAGGTAATAAAAATTATCACTGACATACCAACCTAATAAATCCCTCACGAGTAAAGTAAAATGTGGTACATGGGAAGTCGTATTTGATGTTCTAAAGTTTCTTAGTTAACAAAGGTACGCAACGATGACATCTGAGCAGGTGGTGTCAAATGGTTATCAACCAGTCATAGGAAGCAATTTTTTTGTCATTTTCTACCAAAAGCGTAAAAACACTTGATTCTCTAAATATCAAACAGAACAGTGCTTAAATATGCGTTGCATATAAGGTCCTGATTACGTACACGTCTCTCGTTATCAAACTTACAGATATTCCAAATTACTCTAGGAGACAATTTACAAAAATTTTACCTTTCTCAGTTGATTGATTTGTATATATTTTCCATCTTGAGTTTTATCGGGGAACGGTCACACAAAGCGTTTTCCTCTGATAATTAGCCAAAAATGACGGCTTTTTATCATTACATTTTGGCTGTTTTACGCTAGCTAGCAGGTGTACGATTCAAAATGGCAAATTGAATTACAAGAACGTGAAAGTAAACCAACTGCCTGTTTTCATTACGTCCTAAACTACTCGTGCCAATTCAGCTCCAACTTTTATCTTTACTGGTGTGGTTATATCGAAAAGGGAATGTTGAAGGAAACCAACTCATGGTGCGGGCTACCTCAATTAAAAAACTATCGAAACTGTGCTTGGAATCTAAGGAAGAGTTTAGTCAAAAGGAATGAGAAGGGTTTTTTTATTCGGTAAAATAACAGATTCTTGATGCTGATGATTTACAACAGCACTAAATTTTGCATTTATTAGATTTACGGAACATCCAGTCACAAGATTTTCCTATGCAAACAGATTAGATTTTATCTATTTTGGCACAGTTCACCTGCGCGAGCAACTGCTGACACTAAACAGCTTGAGTGAGGGTCATTTTTCAGTATAGATAATTTGAGGGTATACCAAACGTTTCTGTGGCTAATTCAAAGACCATATTCAGGTTTGATTGATTCTGATTAGCCGTTCTTGACTTCGTTAGTTTTTATGAAACGCAAAAGCCTAGTATTCCTAATTAAATAACGTGAATAGACCATATCATCCGCCATTTCTAATTGCCTAATTTAAAACCAAATGAGCGAGAAAATATCTCATTGCTTCTATTTTGTGGCAACATAAAATTTCATAATTACCTGAAGGGTTTGGTGTTAAGCATTTCACTTCCTGCGTGCTTAGAACAAAGCTGTCTGAGGATACTTCCTTCACCTGTGAACATCATAACGGGTTTATTTTAAATGCTCATTCGGAATCTTTTTAGTGAAGTTTCTAATGTGCTAGCTGATTGCTAACACAGCTCTGTAAACATGGGTTTGTTAAGCAATACACCAAACTTACTCTATTGGTTTACATGCGTATTAACCCATGCGAGATGTCGAGGGAACGTGAAAAAATATCGTGAATTTCGACATATTCATACTTGGCCCCGAGGCTGGAGGAAATAAAACATAATTAGTGAATTATTCATTCCTGAAGCTCGAGGTGATGTTCAAATCAGTAGAAAACGAGACTCACCAACACTGGCTGATCAAATTGTCCCTCGTGTTGCCCGTTGTGCAGTTCTGAGAAGCAGTTCTTTCTCTATTTGATACTATTTTTCAAAGTTTCAAATTACATAAAAGACTGTTATACATCTGACGTACTCGTATTTGATTTTAAGAAAACATTTACGTCAATCTATTTATTATTTTTCGCAATAATAACTTTAGCATTTTTTTCATACGTATTCATTAGCTACAGTTTCCCAAATTTTAATTAAAATAATTTCTATGGCCAGCTAGAAGCTTCTGCCATGTTCAGCTCATTGATTTACCAACCAGAACGGCCGAAGTTATTTATAACGTCAAAAATGCTTATAATTAGGATAAGTAAAGAATGAGTATTCAGTGTTTACTTGAAATGTGCAAAAAACTAATGAATTCTGTTCGAACAACTTCCAATGCATTTGTATCATCAAACGTTTACCATAACTTTATTATTGTAGAAAACTTAGGAACTAAAATCAGCAAAAATTATGAAGAAATTGGTGCACTTTCTTATAACCACTGAGTCTTTTTTTAAAAATTTGCCGATCAAAAAATCTTGCCGTTCAAGAATTTTGAACAGTGCGTCATGCCATGCTGAATTTCCAACGTTGTTTTGCGAGATTAAAGATGGACTCTTTGCTGTTCAACAAGCTTCATTGTTAAGCAAAAAAATGTATGTTGAACGATGTTGCACCGTTGGTTTTGGCTTTAGAACCATAAAAAAGCACTCTCAGTTAAAAGACGACGATCAATTACTCTGTTATTATTAAAAGATGCTAGATCTCAAATGCGTCCGAATAGGCCTAAGTGTCTAATGTAAGTGCTCTTTGTTTTGTAGGAGTATATTGAAGCTGAATAGAATGTTAGAAACCATAGAAAGCCAGATAGCGACAGCAGTTATATTTTTACTGTTAACCCTTTAGTGCATACCTTTTTCTTATAAAAACGCCTTGTTGGGTCAACTCGCTTCACTATTTTTAGATTTCCAGCTCAGAAAATTGCAAGAGAGGTGAAAGAATTGCATCTATCCGTGAGATTGTTTGTGCGGGTAAATGCTCCGCGCTAACATATGATCGCGGCCTAATTATCTATCAAGCACTTCTATTGGAAAGCTTTCTCCGCCCTCAATGGACACCCCCATTGGGTTTGTCTGTTGTAATACGGTCACAAGCGAATCTGATTAAAATTTTATCACGCAAACATCAAGCTAACCAGCAGCGGATCTAAACCTTTTTTTAGGTAGGAGGGACGTCCGCTCATTTTGATCCTAAGATAAAAACTGAGGCTTACTCTCGCAAACAAATTTTCTCGGATTTGCAGGGCTCAGTTTTGCCAGGGCCCCTCGTCTCCACTGCTGATAAATGGTAAAACCATACTTCTATTCTACACCTTAATAACAAACCTATCCTTAAGTAATTAATACGTTTTAAGTAGAGTCTATTCGGATAATATATTCACAATGTTTTAAAAGGATTTCTCTCTATGTGTAAAACATGTACAGGTGAAATACGTGTACGACATACGAAAATTTGTGCATGTGCCTGCTGGAGCGGCCAGCTGTCTCGAGATGTTTTTTTGGTCTATCTCTACCAGATTAACGTGCGTTTTATTTAACATTGTTGGCCTAGCTTTCCTCCTGCGCAGTTCTAAGGTTTGTTCCTAATCAATTTGATTCAATAAACAGGATGGAAATGGATTGTAACTTGAAAAGGCTGGGCAACTTCTTCAACTACCACGTTGACGAAAATTACCAAACACTCATCATCTGTGTTCTCCTTTCCACAGAATCGCTTGATACCTTTCGTTTTGAGTTTCAACAGTATGGGGAGCTAAAGCAAAGAGGTTTTTAAGGCCGATACACACGAGGGATTTTGCTCCCGGAGCATGCTCCAGGAGCACGCTCTGGGAGCGAAGCGCCTCCGTGTGTACCAACGATTTCATGGGTATACTTCATCGTCGGGAGCAGAATTTCCACCCCGCAAAATGCTCCACGATATTAAGAGGCCCTGCGCCTAAGAAACGACCGATGATTTCCGGCTAAAAAATAAAATCGGCCGATTTTTATCTCCCAAGTAGAGGTTACCGAATACTATTCAAAAATGAATTTCTTTTGTTTCAGTTTCGCTTTAAACCAAAAATATCGAGCCGCAAACTTTTTCCGTCTGATAGCAGCAAAATCAGGCCTAAAATAACCTCTCGCAAAAAACGGTTCAGAATTCATTATCGCAACGCAAAATAGCGAGAAAACCACACAGTGATGAAGAAAAAGGCCTTTTTATGCAATATCATTCGATAAACATCGAAAAACTGCCGAAGGGAATAAAAAATAAATTTTCAAATATTGCATATTAAATAAGATGGAGCGTTGGAGCTGATTTTAAAATAATTATTTCTCAAAAGTCCAACGCTGTTGAAAGCAATCACAGTGATGAATCAGACATTGGAGGGATATACATTACGATTCTGGAAAAACATTTTTCGGCCAAAGTATATTGACGTTGTACAAAGCGTTCAAAGTTGCAGTGTTTACCGTTATCTTGCTACTTCTGCGAAACACTTCTCTGTTGCCAATACGGCCGTGGATAGCGTGGTAAACGCCACTTTAATCCTTGCTAGGCGCTCAGAGACCATCCTAAGTAGAAGGACGTAGAATTAAAAGAGAAAGGAAGATGAAAAATAGGCAGAAAAAGAAAAGAACTCGAAATTACCATCTGCTGACGAAACTTGAATCTGGAAAATGTCGTCGCGTGACAGCGGCCAATGACGTCATTTGTCTAAACTGGGGCGGAATCTAAACGAATGCACAACTTTTTCCCGGCCAGAAAGCACTTAGTGAAACAATGTTACAGTAATGTTATTTTTTCACAAGCAATGGTGACTTAAAAAGAAAAAATTCCCTAACCGCCGCACCGTTTTGACCTCAGCGTGATCTGATCGTTGTGGGGTCACGAGTCGACGCTTCTGGCCAGCGGTCTATTGAAAGAAATCTGATCCCATGTTTATTTTTTCGGGCGAGAATCATTCATGTCAATGTCCAATGTCTTCCTTCAAGGAAAAAAAGAGAGAGATATTGGAGTACTGTTGCTCCCGTGAACGAGGAACATCTTGGTCCCGGAAACTGAGTTCATTACGCCCAAGAATTACGGTTTTTTTTTCTCAAAGGACTATTATCTGGCGCTATAAAATGTAGCTAACAGATTCAATTCTTGGCACAATGATTAGCCTCGCGTTTAGTATTTTCTTGGACATGAAAATATCGGGGGTGACACTATTCGGTGGAATGGCGGACTGACGGAATGACGGAACGGAATGATGGAATACATGGAATATTCTAAAATACGGAATATACGGAATACTCTTAAACGCAGAATTAGAGAAAAATCGTTTTAAAAGGGTATACATGTATACAGTCGACTCCAATAACTCGAACCCTCGCTACTGACTCGAACCTCGTACTAACTCGAAGTAATACTATAATTTGTTTCTCTTCAGATCATTTCTATATAACTTTACCCTCATTAACTCGAACCTTATTTTTAAGCGCGTGACAAGTAAAAGAATTGACTTACCGTAACGATTCGATTTAGCGCCCAGGCGCTTATTTACTTTTGGTGCCTCTAGGGAGGACGCTTATTCGGGACAGCCGGCGCTTGTTTCTTTTTTGAGAAACAACCAAATGTTAAAAAAAGAACTTTGATATTTATTTAAAAACGAACAACATTTGAAACTGTAGCAGTAACAAATACTGACGGTGAATGCTCAGTTAACGCGAGGGACTTACCTTGAAACTTGTTGGGCACTTTGTCGATGGAACTTTCCTTCCTTATATTCACCTTTCTTAAAAAAGCTCGCAGTCAAAACAAAGTGCAAGTCGATTAAGGTAATGGATCAAGGAGACTGGAAAACGGACTTGTTGTCCCTGGATCCTTCCTCACCAGAACGACCAGCCAAGCAATCTCCACAAAATTTGAAGAAGAGATCATTCCTTTGAAGACTTTGAAGACTCTGGAAAATCTAAAGCAAGCGACCGGACAAATTTAGGCACAGGTGCGGCCCCCATTAATTGGTAGTACAATCCTGTCAAGCTTAAGTTTACAATTCTTTTTTTTAGAACAGCCGTTTTATGAAAGTTATCCGACATTAGATTCCCGTTATACCGGACCCTTCACCCGTCAAGATGGCTTTCAAAAGCGTCATAAGGTCTATAAAATTACTATAAACAACTTCCTATTCCTTTTGTAGTTTATGCAGATTTTGAATGCTTTACCAAACCAATGAATACTTGCAGTCCTAATCCAAAAGAATCGTATAATTATAACTACCAAAAGCATGAACCATCAGGAGTTTGTTTTTATGTTAAAGGAGTGGTTGATAAAAAAATTAAACCAATAATCTCTACAAAAACAAAAGAAGATGAAGATATATCAAAAGTATTTGTAGAAAAACTTACAGAAGAAACTAAAGGAATTTATAACGATTTTTATCGTAGACCAAAACCTCTTAGACTAACTCGAGCCGAACAAAAATTATTTGATGAAGCAGAAACTTGCCATATTTGTAATAAAGAATTAAAAGAAGATAAAGTTGGAGATCATTGTCATTTTACCGGTCAGTACCGTGGAGCGGCTCATAAAAGTTGTAATTTGCAGTGCCGAAAACCATTAGTTCTTCCAGTTATATTTCATAATCTTCAAGGATATGATGCTCATTTATTTATAAAACAACTTGCTAGATTACCAGGTAATTTGAACTGTATTCCTTCTACGGAAGAAAAATATATTTCCTTGTCAAAAAGTATTAAAGTTGATGAGTATATGTCTAATAAAACTGGCCAAATGGTTCCAATAAATTTTGAAATACGATTTTTAGATTCATCCAAGTTTCTTCAAACATCACTTGCTAATCTGGTGTCAAATTTACAACCAGATGATTTTCATAATACAAAACAAGTATTTAAGAAAAATCTAAATCTACTTACTCGTAAGGGAGTTTATCCTTATGACTATGTTTCATCTCTAGATAAATTATCCGAAAAACAATTACCCCCAAAAGAGGAATTCTATTCAAAACTAAATGATGAAGACATAACTGATGATGATTACCAACACGCAATTAATGTATGGAATACTTTTGAATGTAAATCAATAAGAGATTATCATAATCTTTACCTAAAGTCTGATGTCCTACTTCTGTCAGATGTATTTGAAAACTTTAGAAAAACTTGTCTCAAACGTTACAAGCTAGATCCAGCTGATTATTACACATCTCCTGGATTAGCTTGGGATGCATGTCTCAAAGAAACAGGTCAGGAATTACAATTACTGCATGATTATGATATGTTAATGATGTTTGAGCGGGGTATTCGTGGTGGAATAACACACATATCAAAAAGATATGCAGAGGCAAATAATAAATACATGAAAGATTATAATCCTGATGAGGAGTCTAGTTATATTCAATATTTGGATGCAAACAATCTTTATGGTTGGGCAATGTCTCGACAACTTCCTACACATGGGTTTAAATGGATGAAAGATATAACAAAAGAAAAGGTAATGGAAATTCTAGAGAAAGCAAATCATAGTATGTTTAATCGTGGAAGAAAAGGATATATATTTGAAGTTGATTTGGAATACCCTTCCAGCCTATGGGAAGATCATAATGACTCTCCTCTAGCACCTGAGAAGATGATTGTTAATGGTGTTGAAAAACTAATTTGTCATTTTAAACCAAGAAAAAACTATGTTGTACATTATCGAAATCTTAGACAATATCTTGAAATGGGAATGAGAATAACTGCTGTTCATAGAGGAATATCATTTTTTCAAAGTTCTTGGATGGAACCATATATAAGAAAAAATACAGAACTTCGAAAAACAGCAGCCAACAGTTTTGAGAAAGACTTTTTCAAACTAATGAATAATTCCGTATTTGGAAAAACAATAGAAAACATAACGAAAAGACAGAATATAGAACTTATTGATAATCGTAAGAAAGCTGCCAAACTATCAAGTCGACCAAACTTTGATAGAGCAACAATATTTGATAATCATCTTATTGCAGTCCATATGAAGAAGACTAAAGTTTATTTTAACAAACCAGTATATGTTGGTCAAGCAATTCTAGATTTATCAAAAACATTAATGTTTGATTTTCATTATAACTACATCAAAAAGAAATATGGAAACAAAGCTGAGTTATTGTTTACAGATACAGACTCATTGATGTTCCAAATTAAAACAGATGATTTTTACAAAGATATATCCCATGACATACTAACCAAGTTTGACACTTCAGATTATCCTCCTAATCACCCATCTGGAATACTAACAGGAGTTAACAAAAAAGTGATAGGGATGTTTAAAGATGAAGTAGCGGGAAAACAGATTACTTGTTTTGTTGGATTGCTGCCCAAACTTTACAGTTTTAGAATTGAAGAAGATAAAGAAGTACGTAAATGCAAAGGAATAAAGAAAAATATTGTAAAAAAGAAATTAGATTTTGATGACTATGTTCAATGTTTATTTACGGGAAAAAAAGAAATGAGAAAGATGAAAATAATAAGAAGTGAAAATCATGATATATATTCAAAAGAAGTTAACAAAGTAGCACTAAGTAATGAAGATGATAAAAGAAAGGTCCTTAAAGATAGTGTGAACACTTTATCTTTTAGATAAAAAAAAAATGATTCAAAAGAATTAAAATTTAATAATTATAAATTATGAATTGTCATGAAACTATTATATTTAACAATATTAAATTTTATGTCCATCCAATCTATAATCGATATGCTGCTAGCAAAGATGGACAGATATATGGTAAAAAACATAAAATAATATTAAAACAAAATGTAAACACAGGAAATGGAGGGTATTTATATTTCTTTGCTTATAATGAAAAAGGAAGAAAAAATTATTCCATTTCTAGATTTGTTTATGAATGTTTTAACGGTAAAATACCAAATGATAAACAAATTGATCACATTGATAAAAATGAATATAATAATCGTCTAGATAATCTTCAATTATTATCATTAAAAGAAAATACGAGAAAAGCACATAATAAAAGTGTTAAGTCGTTTAATATTGAAACAAGAAAAGAAAAAAAAATTTAGAAGTATCAAAGAAGCATCAGAGGAATTAGAAATTTGTTCAGGTTCAATTTGTTCAAATTGTAAAAAAAAAATCTAAATTTACAAGATCAAAAAAAGATGGAATGATTTATCTTTTTAATTATATCTGATATTGTATTTATATGTTTAATAAAGTAAAAACGATAGCTTTAAGGTAATAAAGTATAAATAATAAATGACATATACAGAAGATCAAATAAAGAAATATCTAGAAATATTGTATAATTATATTAGTTAACCTGAAGAGGAAGTTAGTAGAAAATCTAAATGTTGCAATTGTCAAAATAGTGAATGTTTTACCATTGATTCTGGTTATAAAATCTGTGATTACTGTGGAGTAGCAAACGGGCATGTATTAGGCTTTTACGATGTTAAAGATTACGATAGATTATATTTTAGAAAAAAGAGTATTTATCATAGGAAGTATCACTATGAGAAAAAGGTTAATCAAATTTCTAAAAGAATAAACCTAACTGATGAACAAAAATGTGAACTTTACGATAAACTAATAAAAATAGATAATTACACCATGGAAATACTAAATAAAAAATACTTTAGAAAGAGGATGATAAAATCATTTTTTATCCAAACCTAGCAATCTTCTTGCCTCTTCTACTTTTAATTTGTAGTACTCTCGCTTTAATTCTTTTAGGTAATCATCTTCTGATACTCCATCTGGTGGACTAGCGTCTTCAAAAAAATATTCAAATAAATCATTATCATCAGATGAATAAAACATTTCTTTTGCTTCAATTTCAGGTGAATCAACAACTCGCTTACTCATTTTATTTAAATATTTTATTCTTTAAATCTTTATAACTATCCCACCACTTTTCATAAATCTCTAAAGTTTGAGGACTAATCTTAAGATAAATTAGTTTATACTTTTCACATCCCATCTCCTCCAAAAGTTTTTTGATTAAATAAAAAATACTTATATTAATTTTTAATATAAAATTGTAAATATATTTATTTTAATCCTTTATGAAAAATCCAGTAACTTATTCCAGTTAGGTAACCTAATACTTCACTATTTATTGGAGAGTCAAATGTGTATACACATCCTCTTCCAATTTTGTAATGTTTATGAAAAGATTTAAAAGCTCTATAAAACATTAGATGATTATTTAGAACAGGATTATTAGATTTAATAGATCTATCTTCTATTCTATAGAATATTTTTTCTATATCTATATTTTCTCTAAAATAAACTTCGTGTAAGTATCTGTAAATGAGTGATGTTTTTATAAGATTTTCAGGATAGGGAAGATGTTTGTAAAAAGGATAATAAAAGTTAACATAATTCACAATTGTGTTTATCATTTTATGTATTGATTATAATATCTTTAATATAATTATTAAATAAAATGCCTATACAAATTAATCCTCGCTCATTGTTAAATCTAAATCATATCTGTGAAGTGTTATACAAACTTCATCCATCTATTTTAGATGACTTGGTTCAAATGGAAAGATATTGGGGAGCTATAATTGGTAATATAGACTTAACGAATTTAAACTTAGAAGAAAGAGAATTCTTAGCTAATATTGATGATAAAGTAGATTACTCAAAGGAACCTGAGAAACCTAAGGAACCGGAGGATCTATTAAAAACGATAGAGAAGATGAAAGATCACGAAAACGGTGTTCGTTTTCATGAGCTAAGAAAATATATTCAACTAGATAATGATGAATACATTCCTATGAAGATATATGTTGAAGTTGAAGATCCAGTAATAGGAAGAAAAGTAAAAGAATTGGTTGAGGCACTTGAAAAAACTAGAGCTCCAGAACAGTTTTATTTTCATAAAAAAGAAGTAGATGAAAATGCTTATTTTGCTGAAGGTTATGGTCTTAGAATGAATGAGGAACAGAAAAAACAAAGAGATGATTTCTTCTGGGGAGAAGACGTTGAAGGTCTTGAAATACTTTTAAAAAAGGAAAAGTTATATCCTTAATTTAAAGATAACTTATTTATTTAAAAAAAAAATTTAATTAATTATTTAAAGATAAAAATGATATTATATAATGACAAAAAGGTTGGAAAAAAAGTTTAAAAATGTTGATTTAGGAATTGAGTTAACATCTTATATTGACAAACAGCAAAATATTTGGTTTCGAGGAAAAGAAGTTGCTGAGTTACTTGGTTATAGTAATGTAAGAAAAGCTATTTGTAAACATGTTGATAATGAGGATAAAAAACAAATATTTACTTATCATACCAGCGTACCCAAAATGGGCACGGTGGCACCAAGTGGTAGTATGTGCACTTATATAAATGAAAGTGGTTTCTACTCCCTTGTTTTATCCTCTAAATTAGAAACCGCCAAAAAGTTTAAACATTGGATTACCTCAGAAGTACCTCCATCAATAAGAAAATATGGCTATTTTAAAATGTTTGACAACTCAAATAATAAAATGTTTAAGATTGAAAATGAAATGGACCTTCACTGTAAAGTTGTTGAACTAATTAGAAATTTTTATCCAAATGCTATTGTAGTTCCAGGACTTTGGGAAAACCAAGATACACGAGACAAAAGAATTAACAGTTGGAAAAAAGGCTATATGCGAGGTCAACCAGATCTAATGATTCTTGATTATCACAAAGATTATAAAGGTCTCTGTATCGAATTCAAATCACCAACTAATAATTACTGTATATCAGAATCACAACTAAAAATGAAAGAAAAGTACTATGATAATGAACATGCATTCATACTAAGTAATGATTATGATAAGATCAGCAAACTTATTCATAAATATTTTGCCGGTGTTCGTATTCCTTGTAAATATTGCTCAAAAGCGTTTAAAAATAAAAAAAAACTCTAAATAGTCATTTTAAGGTAATTCATCGGATTGAGAAAAACATCTAATTTTGATATTATTACTAATATCAAAATGTTAGAAAAATTTTTTATAAATAAACAACTAGGAATTAAACTAACTTTATATGTTAATTAGTACTTAATTTTTTTAAATATTCTTTTTGGTGTTTTCTTGCTTCTGAAATACCATTTAATTCATATTCTATAGATCTAAAATTACTACTATCATATTTAAATTTTTGTATTCTAATTAACAAAACTTTATCAAGAGAATCTTTTCTAAAACTTAAACAATAACCACAATAATTTTCAGTTTTTTTCAATATTAAATTCATCATCATCTTGCAATAAAGAATCAAGTTCTTCACATAATTTTTACCTTCTTCAACTAAACATGATTTGTAATATCTAAGTAATCGATTTTCAGAATTTCCAAAATGATCCATTTTATTGTTATTAATTTAATCTTTAAGCTATTTTTCTGAAACTCGAAATATCTTCTAAAGTAACCTTTATACGTCTATAGTTACTCATATCATCTAGATACTTTTTACATCTTTCATATAATTTTTCATCCATAACATCTTTTTTAAACGATAAACAAAAACTACAATAAGTTTGTGCTTTATCAATGTCAAATTTTTAATCATCTTTAATTAATTGATCAAGTTCTTTACAAATTTCTTTACCTTCTTTAGCTAAAGCTGTTTCGTAAGAAATAATAAATTGATCTTCTATTTTTTCCATTTTATTCATTGATTATATTAAATTTTTTGTTATACCTACTATCAAATCTATCTGCTATTGGAGTCTGATCAATTATCATTTCATCTACCAACTTCATACGATCAACAAACTCTTGTTTGTTCCACTCATCTCCCCGAAGAGCTGCTCGTAGTGCAACAAGTACTTTCTCGTAAGTGGTAAATGCAATCCTTGACATCTCAATTTTTCTTTTGTAATTATTTTTCTTTCCTACTCCACCCACAATAACTCCAGCACCATTTACAACTCCAAGAACAACAGGGTTTAGGGTTATTCCACCGGAAATAGTTCCTATTGCAACCAAGCATATTCCAGAGATTGTAAAAAAATTATCAAGAAATTTATAACTCTTATAAGACCGCTTAAAACACCAGTATTTTTTGTGGTAATGACTATAAAAGTCTTTGAGGGTTTTAACGTCTGATTCTGATAGAGATTTGTCTATGTGATTAAATTCAAAGATATCCTTCATTTATATCTATAGTATATAAGATTCATTAATCTTTTCCTGAAGAATAATTTTATGATATTCTATAGAGTCTGTATCGTAAAAGTTTGGGGAGTACATAAATTTTTCTATTACTCCATCTTGATTTAAAAATTCGAATGTTTGGTTACTTGAATGACTAACAATAGTAGCAACTATTTCTGATGAGTAGTTACTTATTTTAACTTTTGTAACATGATTATTAATACTTTCTGTTAACCATAAAACTACTTTTTTTCCATTAAAACTACTTGGAATTGTTATATTTTTTCTTGTATTACTAATATGTAAATTTAATGTATTATTTACATTAAGATAGTATAAAAAAAATAAAGTTTGATTACTATTTACATCTTTTTTAGTTATACTAAAATTTCTATTTCTCCAAAGAGTAAAAACAATACATAAAGTATAGCTTGTAAGTTTATTAGCTGATGAATAAGAAATAGTATAACTATTAACATTTAATCCACCATTTTTTATGTTATCAATTGTTTTAGTTGGAAAGGTAATATTTCTTGCAGAATTTCCTGTAATAGAAGATAAGGAATTAAATACAACCCCAGATGAAGTTTTATTTAAGACGTAAATATTTGAATCATTAAAATCAAAAAAATCTTCAAAATATTTTCTATAAATATAATTTTTTGTAAAAGGATGAATTTCATTTACCATTCCAACTGTTGCAGCACTATTGTTACTGTTTCTATCAAGATTAATGTTTAATATTTCTTTATTATTTGCATTTATATCAACGTTGTACACCACTTCTGTTGGTTTGATATCAAATGCGGTGTAATAGTCGTAAACTTTATCTGGATCGATATTGCTAATTTTTCCCACAATTCCATAAGTAATTATATAAACTCCTGGAAACTGTCTCGGATACACAGCCAAGTCGGTTCCATCTTGTGGTATATTAACCAAAATATGAAGAAAGAACTTATTACCAGATGACAACTTCTCAAAATTAACTATTATTCTGTGATAATACATAAATTGTGCTTGTCCCTTTGGATCGCTGTACCTATGGGAGAGTTTCTTTACACTAACATTTTCAATTGATAATCCTCTTGAAGTTCCTTTGTCTACACTTATTTGAGACTTATGCCACAGTTGATAATCACTGTTGAGTATTTCCAAACATAACGTGTAATCAGCATTTGCAGTTAACCTGTAAAAGTTGATTCCCATTTTGTACTTATATCCACCTTGAGAACTTTTGTTTATTGTTAAAAAAATTACTTTGTGGTTATAGTTATGAAAATTACCTTTAGAAGGAGATAAGTCTCCTATTCTTCTCACAAAAAAACTATTTCCACCATCTGTTTCATCACTCCATTGTGCCCCACTAGACATAAGATAAGCAAAATGATCGTTGTAATGGCTTGGTTGAACTGCAGTGTGATGAACTAGTTTGTCAGCATAATCTTTAGTTACCGCTTCATTGTCTTGGGTTGGCTTACTAAGATTTATTATTTTATTGTTGTTAAGATTTAAGTTTCCAGTCATACCATCTTTTTCCAAGTAATCACTTAAATCTGGGGCACCTGTGTTATCATCCACATACTTTTTGGTTGCAGCATCTGTGTTTGATGTTGGTGGTCTAAGGTCAATTATTTTTTTATTATCCATGTTTAGATTATTAGTCATTTTATTTGTTCCAGCAACGTGGAGATACTTCAAATCTGTAAAAGCTAATGGTGTTGGTTGATTATTACCATTTGGAGCTGGAAGATTATAGATTCTATTATTATTCATATCAATATTTCCAGTCATTTTTTGCGATCCATCTTTTTTAAAATAAGGACTAACATCAACTTTGTTAGCTGTAACTGTATCATCAACATATTTTTTGTTTGATGCGTCATTTTGATTTGTTGGAGCATTAACATTTACTATTTTTTTATTATTCATATTAAGATTACCTATCATTTGATTACTACCATTAACATGAAGAAATTTAGCTTCTACATAAAATTTTGTGGTTGAATCATTATTATCCTGAGGAGGATAAAGATTTTTTATCATTTTATGATTCATATCAATATTTGAATCAACTGTTAGTTTTGATGATAATAATGATCCACTAGAATTATCATCAACATACTTCTTAGTAGCAGCATCAGTATTAACACTAGGTGAACCAACATTTCTTAGTTTTTTATTTATCATATCATAATCACCATCTGAAGTAAGATTAAATCCCACTCCTGGTGCGCCTTGAATTCCTTTAGCAAATGTATTATTTGAATGTTCGTTAAATATCCCCATTTTATTTATTAGTTTATATTACCAGTAAAGTTTTTAGCAATATGTTTTCTGGGTTTATCAACATATAGAAATGAATATGGTTTTCTTGTTGCGGATTTTAAGTCTTTTTTGTTAATACCCAAATCAGATGATATTCTGGTAGCATCCCCCGATGATAAAGGCTCATACAAACAGTAGTGAGTACATCCCTTTCGAATTTCTGATGGTGTTTTAAAAAACGATTGACTTAGATAAATCACCGAACAATTTTTATGGCGTCCTTGCATAAAATAATCTATTAACTTTGTTTGGTTTTTATCACAAACATAGTCATCAAATATCACAAGTTTTTGATTGTCTTCGTATTTCAATTCTGTTACTGGAATTATTTCGCCATTACTCACATTAAGTATTTCATATCCTGTTTTACTACTCAACTCCTTCATTTTTTGAATTAATTTTTGATACTTATCCTGATGTAGATTACGAGCGTAAAGATAAATCTCATCATAGTATAACACTGGTTTAATTAACATATGATACAAAAGATTAGTTTTGCCACAACCACTGTTTCCACAAATTAACATCCAAAATGTGTCTGATGGCATGAAGGGAAATAATTGTTTGTATTTTTTATTTGAGTAATCAACACTATCATAATTTGGTATTTCCATTTTATTTAATTAATAGATGAAATGGATATTGAAGAAGCCAAAAAATTTGCAACAAATAAAATTGAAGGTGACACTTTAACTCAACAGGTTAGAGATGTAATAAAAATAACAAAATGGCAAAAACAAGATGCTCGGGAAGGTTTTAAAGAGACATTTAAACCACTTATTAAATCTCAAGATAGTATTAAAAAAAGTATTGATGAGCAGCAAAACGCAACTATAGCACAACTTAAAAAAATCAACTTGCATTAACATCAGGATTGGAAAAAATTAATGAAACTAATTTAAGATTGGCTGAAATGAGAGAATTACCAGCTTTAAAAGGTGATTATGATAAACCTACAACATCTAAACCAAGATCACCTACACGTTATAACATTGAAAAAAATCTTGACAATGTTGATTTAGAAATATTAAGAATTATGGAATATCCAAGGCCAAATGATTTTTTTGATACTAACACTGAAAGACTTGGAGAAATACTTGATGAAGTAAAAAATGATGTAAAAGTTTTTACAGGACAAATAGCTGGATTGAAGAGAAAAAAACATAAAACAGAAGAAGACGAAGAAGAAATAGAAAGGATTAAAATGCAAAAAGATTTACTACATAAATGCAAAAACATTCTTAAAATTTATTTAGGTTCGCTTGATTATCAAATGGGAGAGGGAATGATTTACTTTAACAACCCACATCAACTTCTAGACAGACTTGAATTACTTGGTGGTTCAATTATTG